AACCAAATCATTTTCTTCTTTTGGACTGCTCAGTGCCATGGTTCTCGCACTGAATTGCAGTAATACATGGCATTAGTGAACTCCCAGCTAGTCTCTTTGCTATCATGAACAAGAATCTGCCCTAAACCCACTTTATAGAGCTTTTCCCCCAACTTTTACAAAGTACCTCATCTGAACTGAAAGAGAAAAAATGGTTTTGTTTCCTTTCTTTCCAATCATTAATGGCAACTTAGATCAGATCAGCCCTTCTCTCTTTCCTGGTTAGAAGAGCAGAAGGTCAGTAGAAGACTCTCATTTTGTTAGGCAAGAGACTGTAAGGATAACCTCTGTATTTTATCTTCTTGCATCACCCTGTTCCCAGGTGTGTAACAGAAAGGTCTAATGGCCTGATCCAGTACCCTCTGCAGTCAGTAGGTTTCTTTCAGTGGATTGAGCCCTAATATTTTGGGGGTTGTGCCATTTACTCTTCTCGGTAGCCCCCTACAGGTCTAGTCATGAAGTGGCATTGGTAATAATCTCAAAGAAGCTTGGTTCCACGTCACCAGTCTCTCTCTACAAGTGTGGAAATGACAGAATTTGTTTCCTTTATAATTACTTGCTGTCATTGATTACTTGAGACGTGCTCAGATTTTGTGGAGATGAGGGCTATAAAAGTACCTATGTAAATAAGCAGATGCAACAGAGTAATGGGGGAGAGTGCCAACCCATCCAGGTTAACAGTTGAAGGATAGTATTCTAGGAAGCAACTTGCCTTGGACCATTCCAGCCAGAAGAGGCGAGTGAGATAAGAAAGGAGAGACGAGGGAGTGGGCAATAAGCAAAAGAAAATGGTGGGGGAGGAGGGCAAAAGCCATCTATGAAAACCACCTAAGATTGGCAACATTTAATTGCATTTAATTTTTTACATTTATCTAAAAGGTGATTGGGGGAAGGCTTATTAGGATTCTGTGTCCCTAGAGTCCTGCTTTGAAAGAACACTACACACCATGATAGCTTGCGTGTCTAATTAGAAGTTTTTCCTCTCTTGATCACCTAAAGTCAAATTCATTTACTCTGCTTGAAACAAGGATTTAATTTTTTTCTTTTTTTGGCTTCAAAAGATGTCTCTCAGACTTGGTGCAAAACCACAGCCTGCTAATCAGGAGAGGGCCCATTACCAAACCTGTTTTATGAATATTCACATCAGAGGGCAGCACCAACCTCATTAGTAAGGGTGTTGCAATTATTATTAAACTGTTGGAGCCCATTATGATTCACAGTGCTCTAATGATGACTGATACCCACTGAGGGCAGCTGAGAAGAATACTGGAAAATAATGACCTGGCTTTTTCTACATAAGGCTACAGAGCTTTTAATGCTTACGGCTTATATCGTTTGTGTCTTTTTCATCCATTGGGCAATAGTAGCCTTAATATCCCTGATTCTTCTGCAGAAATGGTTTGAAGAGGAACATCAGAGCAATTAGGGATCCCAAGTACATTACATTTAGGTGATGCTGCAAAGTCACTAGTGCCATTAATTTTTTCACATATAGGGGTTCCATTAATTAGTTTTTTCTTGTCAATTACACTACAAGCTTATAACTGTATCAAGTCCCTCCTGTCCTTCCCTGTAAGATGAAAAAGACACTGTTATTGTTAAACCTGAGTTTGATCATTCTAGGAATAGCACTGCTCTAGTTTATGGGTCTGTCAGCATTCTCCCTTTCCCTTACTTTCCTGCTCTGATGATAAACTGCACTTGAAGCTAAATGTTAGTACAAATAATAACCCAACATCTTTCTGTACTGAGATTCTCTCTCTGCTCAGAAACAACATTGGCTTGCTTTAATTTACTTAAAATAATGTCTGAATTAGCATGTTTACTATGGGGTTGTGGGGGGGGGGTGTTTGTTTGTTTTTGCATTTATAAGAACCAAGGGAATGTATATAGCCATCAGTGCATCTCCTGGGCAGAGGCAGAGAGAGTTTTGCCATGACAAGCTTTAAATATGGATGACACAATTATATCAAACAAAAGGAATTCATGTGATACTTTTAGCCTTCAGGGTGATTGTAGGACATGTGCAAGGCACAGAAGCTAGGGGAGATCTCAACAGATTTTTGGGGGTAATCACAAAAATTTAATTTTTTTTTCTTTTAGTGACTCACATCGTGGTGACTTTCCTTCAACTAAGAAGGGCTAGATTAGACTCCCTTGGGAATCTGTTAGCACTTAGCACAGCCTCATGAGGCACAGCATGCGGTCTCTGCATCTCTTTCAGATTAGGTCTGGGACCTGGCTTTTCTTGTGTGGCAGTGCAGGCTAAGTACATCAGTTTTAATGTTGTTTTAATTGACATTTCTTGCTACGATGTTCTTTTTATAAACTTGCAAGAGGCTGTTTCTGCAACTGATGAAGCTGATCATAAATTATTCTGTGATGCTTTAAAAGAGAGGCATCATGGGAAACTCTCTGTAAATTTCAA